CAAATGGAAGAAGAAAGAGAATATGAGCGTGACAAAATTAAAGAAGAACGTTCTAGAATGGACCAAGAGCATGCAAAATTTCAGCAGTTGCATGATCGATTCGATTATCTTATGAATTTTGTGCAACAACAATTTTCAAGAACTGATCTCAGTAGTCCTCCAACTCAAGTATTATATTTAGTAAATATTTATATTTTTTAATGTCATAATAGCTTACAATGAAGTCTTAAAAATTGTATGCTATTATTCAATAGGTTCTTGAGCATGTTAGTTATCAAGGTAAAAATTTTTCTTCATCAATTGACAGCCTTTAAAATATATGCAATCATCAATTTCATACATTTTAATTTTTATTTTGTTAATGTGTTTAAAAAATTTGGATGTTATTATACTAATTATTAAATTTTGTGTTAATTATATGCATATTTGAATGTGAATTAAGTTTATATTAATATCAATATCTGAATTTAAGCTCGTTTACGAAAATAAAAATATTAACAGGTATTTTTTTTTTAAACAAAATACATTTTTTGATTTCACGATGTTTGTGTTGAAGAATGTTGCTAAATGAATAATTTAGTAGTATTTGTACCATAAAATATCACTAAAAATAGCAACGCTCTTGCTAGAAACCACGCTAAATTAGAGGTATTTTTTTTATACAAAAGTCACGAAAGTAATGAGGTTTTTCTAATAAAAATACCAAAAAATAATGGCATTTGTATTTGAAAAATACCGTTATATTAGCGGCATTTGTATCTGAAAAACATTGTTATATTAGTGACGTTTGTATCTGAAAAATATCTTTATTTTTCATGACACGTGTATAGCCAGCACTCTAACTGACGTTTTTTGCAAACGCCACAAATCTTTTAGTGAACGTAGAAAAAAAACACCACTAAAAATTAAAACTCCTGTAGTGAATGTTTAGGAATAAATTAGCAGTTTCCATAAACAAAATATTGAGAAAGTGAAGTGAATAAAAATATCAAAAGTGCATGTCACGACTCAAAGATTCATGTATGTTCAATTTTTGGATCTTCTATGGTAAAACAAATCTCAAAATCTATTAACAAAAATTATTTAAATTGCACAATGCACACAATGCTTGCTTGAACCATAAAAACCCATATCTCTTTAAAGCTTAAAAACCAACATCTCTTTAATTGATGCCAAGATTCCAGGGGGGCTGATGAGAGGATGTTTTTATTCCTTCTTTAGGATGTTTTTTTCTTAAGAGTAAGGGTTTGGACAGCTATGTCGAGGGGATGTTAGATTTAGGTTGAAGTTTTGGTTAGCCAAAAAGCAGGAGTTAAACTTAGATATGAGTTCAATCCTCTTCCATTTTGAACCTCTTTTCTTTTTGGCTAAATTATCTTTAGCTCTGTTACCATTTCGTGACTTAGCTTGGATGAGAACGTGTAGGGAAAAGGAGGGAAGAAAGAGTCGCAAACTCTCCATCTCTACCTTCCATTTCGACAACTTTTCACAGGTAATACATATGAAGTAATGCATCACCTCTTCGAACACATCCTTAAAATCAAAATTGTAAGAAGAAAGTATTCCTATCACAAGGCAACAACGAATACTGTAATGAGAACCTAACAACCATTTAAGCACAAAGCAACAGAAACAACTCATTTTCAAATTCACATGTGATTGCTAACATTTGAAGTACAGGAGATCTCTTGTATAAAAGGATTCTAAAATTAAGCAACCATAACCTTATTGCTCACAAGGCAAATACAAAAGTCTGATTCACATTGAAACTTGTTGATGCTTTCAATCAAAGAAGTTTGAAGATCGATAAATGGCACAAATATTGCCAAAATGTTGCACATGCAAAAGCGCTCGATTAGATTGTTTGATTAATCCTCCTTGTCTTTTTGGATGGCAATGAAAATATAAAATCATCATCAGAAATTGGGTTTCAATGCTCCGTTTTCCTTGATTTTCATTTTGAACAGAGATGAGTTTTCAGTCTCACCTTAACTTGGTTTTTAGAGTTTTAAGATCTTGAAATTGATTTTTTGAACAGAGATATGTTTCCAATCCCATCTCTCCAATTGAATTGTTAATAAAATTATAATTAATTAAATATTTTTATTTTTTACCTGATGTGGAGTCCACATGTACAAAATACCTACTTTCAGGAATTAAGTTTAAAACTACTTTAATTTAGTAAATATGATTAATGAGAACCTTAATCAGGAAAAAACTCAGGGGTTTGGGGCTATGCTGAGATACAGGGACAAGAATGGATATAAACTTGGAAATTATCTGTCAAAGAAAGGTTGACTTATCGTATGTAGCAAGAAAAAAATTGTACGGTGTTATATATTCAGTCCAATTTTCCTTTTTTCAAATTATGTCATGCAACTTTATTTATGAAAAAATAAATTATTTATTACATATTATATTAATAATTAAATAATAAATATTTATTTTAATAAATTTATACATATAATATATAATAAATTATTGATTTTTTGACTAATATAAATACATTGCTTGATTTGAATAAAAAATATATATTAATGTAAAATAATTATTTCATGCAATATTTTTATATACTTTTTTGTTATTTTTAATTTCCTTTTAAGTTTTTTATTCCAAAAATAAAATTTTTATTTTTTTTGGCCATTAGATTGACTTTTTTTAATTAGTACAAAAAGGAAAGAATATTTTTTATTAAAATTCAAACATTAAATTAAAATAAGCACATGAAATTATGAGTTCAAAAAAATTATAATGTAATATTTTTTAATCAAATAAATATATAAACAAGTTATGTGTAGATTAAAATTAAAATAAGTCAAATATCGTATGTGTAGATGAAATGATTAGAATTAACGTCAAATATCATATGCACAGATGAAATGGTTAGAATTAGCAATTTCAGTTTTCCTTTAATTAGTCTTGTAACGTTAGAATTATTAATTATGAGTTTGAAAAATTTTATATATATAATATTTTCTTTAATCATATAAATATATATAAAAAAAGTTATGTGTAGATTAAAATTAAAAAAATCAAATATGGTATGGGTAGATGAAAATGTTAGAAATACCAATATCCCTCTTTCCTTTTGTGTAAAGAGATCAAATTACACAAAAAAATTTCACACTTTTTTATGATAATTGATTTTAATGAATCCAAGTTACGAGATTAAATAATTTTTTCTCTCTTATCTTTTGGATATATTAAAATCAATAGTTAAAAAAATATAAAATTAAAAAATTTTATACTAAGGTAAGATAATCATATCTTATTTTAAATTATAATTAACTTACTACATGTGCAATGCAAAAAATTATATTTATTTATTTAAATATATGTAAAAATATAAATTAATACCATTTAATCGCTTACATGTTTAAAATATTCATAAATTACATATAATATAATTAAAAATATATTTAACAAGTGATTTTCATGTTTTTAAATTTAAAAAATTTAAAGACTAAGGAATTATAAAAAATGTTATCAAAGTAAAGATATTTATTTGAAAATTTTAAATTTAAAAAGAGACATCTAGGTGAAATGTTAATTAATTTTTTTAAGTTTTATATTTTTATTAGTATTTATTGACATTTTTTTTTATTTTTAAGAAAAAATCATTAAAAATTAATCATAGATAATACAGAAAAAATTTTATTTTCGGGAATTTGAAAAATGTATAATAAGTATCATCCATATGTTAAAAAAATTCACCTGATAAATATTGCAGATAATTTTATATGTGGTAATATAATATTATATATATTATAATAATTATAAGTGTTATATTTTAATAAAAATTTAAAATTATAAGTGATATATCCTTGAGCTGTGCACCAAGATAAGACTCTTATTAAAGATAATAACTAATTCATTTCAAATTTGATTCGATTTTTATATCGATAAAATTTAAATTTAATCTGATTTGAAAATTTTTTTATATTTTTATATTTAAATTTAAATTGATTCAATATTATATAAATCGTATTTGATTTTATCTAAAATTAATAAAATATTATTTTTTAAAATATAAAATATTATTTTTTAATATAAATATAAAATTACATAAATATATAATTAATTAATTAAAAAATATTTTTTTATATATATTAAATTATATCGAATTGAATTTATTTAAAATTTAAAATTTAATTTTTATTATTATTTAATTTAATTTGATTTAAATTTTAATTAAAAAAATAATTTTATAAAATTGCATTAAGTCGAAATATGCGTGAGAGGCGGATGGGTAAGGATGTAAACGAGCCGAGCTGAATAGTGAGAAGCTCGAGCTCAAGCTCGACTCACAACTCGGGGCTCGATATTCGGCTCGAGTTCGATCGAGTTTTATTTTTTAAGCTCGAGTTCGATTCGTGATTGAATTCGAGCTACTCGAGCTCGCTCGATTAAGCTCGATTAATATATAAAAATAAGCTCGATTCGTATATTCGATAAGAGTTCGATTATTCATGCTTGAATTTGAACTCGAACTCAGACTCAAAATATTTTATTAATTAAAATAATAAAAATATATTTAAATATAAAAGCTCGATTAAGCTCGCGAGCTACTCGAGTCAAATATAAAAATATTCGAATTCGACTCGATCGATAAGTCGAACTATTCGATCTTGAACTCGACTCGATAATAATTAAATCAAATTTAAATTTTTTTTAAATCAAATCCGAATAATTTATGAATATTAATGTATTATTTATGTTCTTACGAATGAGATTACCGATCCTAACTCGTACAAATAAAAGCCATCTTTAAGTCAAGTCACGAACAGCAAAGCTCACTTTATACGGAAAGAGAATAAAAAAACAAATCACAAACATTCATCCGAAAAGAAAAAAAATTAATATAATCATAGATAAGCATGTCAGCCCAGGAACAGCACCCAAAAAAGGCTTTCGGATGGGCAGCCAGAGACTCATACGGTGTCCTCTCTCCTTTCATATTCTCCAGAAGGTTTAATTTATATTAATATTCTAACTTAGAATATGTGTATTTTTTCCTAGTCCTAGGGTAGTAGTTTCTTTTTTTTTTTTTCATTTTCTTTTTGTTAAGTGTGAAGAAGTTTATCAGGGATTCGAAGCTTGCTTGAACCTCTTAGGCCAAGCCTTGGTTGGTTATTATTGTTGTTCATTGTTCTGTTTATGGCTTTAAAATGTTTTAATTTCTATGCTCTGTTTGAGAGAAATAATGTGAATTTGCAGGGCAACAGGAGAAAATGATGTGGCTTTCAAGGTGCTTTATTGTGGGATATGCCACTCAGATCTTCATATGATCAAGAATGAATGGGGCCAAACTGTTTATCCTCTTGTTCCTGGGTAATTAACTATATATCCACGCATCAATACAACTATCTATTTGAGATTTTTTTTTTTTGTTTAAAAAAGAATAGCAGCTATACTCAATCAAATTTGATATAGAATTTATTTTGTTGGGGATACACAACAAATTCAACAAAATTTTGCTATTTATTTTCGTTTGAAATAAAATTTCAAAAGTACTGCTAGTAACTTAAACTTTACTAAATTGTTAACCAGCTATTTGTTCCCCAAAACCTTGCGTGATTAGTTTATCAGTAAAAATCTCACCATAAGAAATTAAGTTTTTAGATATGAAAAATTTCGTAGTTAAAAACTTGATTTCCTTGAAAAATTTCATTAGCGACGAAATTTTGTACTTCTTTTCTTTCGATAATAGGTCAGTAGTGTTCATGATAAAAAGACAACGCATTAATGGATAATTATGGATAAGAACCCTGATAGGATTTAAAGTTGTGGTGGAGAACATGTCATTTAATGAAAAAAACAGTGATGCAAAGTCTTGGGCCACAGAAAAACATGATAATTATGTTAGTTTCGTTTTTTTTTTCTTTTTTCTTTTCCCTGGTAAATGATCCGCTTGAGCTTGTTAGTTGTTAGATTAAAGATTGAAAGAGAATGAATGATGGAAGAAACTATAGGTGAATGAATGAGAAGGGAGACCGAGTAAAAGATTTACTGTATCCGCGTCTCAGATAAAAACAAACAAAAAATAATTTTGAACTAGACAGATGAAATCGACATGGCTGGTGCGTAATGTTAGTGTTGTGTATATCTAATATTTATTTTGTGTAAAATATTAAAATTTTTGAATTTATATTTTATTTTATATAAAAATTATTTGTGATAATTTATATCGATAAAAAAATATAAAATATTTTTTTTATTTTATTAAATTTATATATAATTATTATTAAAATTTTAAATTATATATTTTTTTATATCACATTAATGTTATGTTTTAAATTATGGGGTCTAATATTGTCTTTTCAAGTGTGCATTTATTGATGTTGGATAAGATTACAATTATTTATTCATGTCAACGGAACTGCAGACATGAGATAACCGGAGAAGTGACAGACGTGGGTTGTAAGGTAAAGAAGTTCAAAGTTGGGGATAGAGTTGGAGTGGGGTGCATGGTTGGGTCATGCCACTCCTGCGATGACTGCAACAACAATCTTGAAAACTACTGCTCAGGAATGATACTCACCTATGGTGCAAAGTACCATGACGGAACTATTACATATGGAGGTTACTCTGATATTATGGTTGTTGATGAGCACTTTATAGTCCGTATTCCAGATAATCTACCTCTTGATGCTGCCGCACCTCTTCTGTGCGCTGGGATTACAGTGTATAGTCCACTGAGATATTATGGACTTGATAAGCCTGGTTTGCATGTGGGTGTGGTTGGACTGGGTGGACTAGGTCATGTGGCCATTAAATTTGCCAAGGCTATGGGGGTCAAGGTGACAGTGATCAGCACCTCTCCTAACAAGAAGAAGGAAGCTATGGAAAATCTTGGTGCTGATTCCTTTTTGGTTAGCCGGGACCAAGATCAGCTTCAGGTTAATTTAGCTTTGACACATTTTTTCTTCTGATCTGACTAATTCAACGAAAATTTTTCTGACGTCAAAATTATGTTGATTGTTTAGGCTGCCATGGGGACAATGGATGGTATAGTCGATACAGTATCTGCCAAACATCCTCTGTTGCCCTTGCTTGGGTTGTTGAAGAATCATGGAAAACTTGTTCTTCTTGGTGCTCCAGAGAAGCCACATGAGCTACCAGTTTTTCCTTTGCTCAGTGGTAAAATCAATTAAGAATCAGTAATTCTTTTGATTATGAAAAACCATGAATGAATGCTTCTAATATTTCTTCTTTGATTAAAATGATTTGGGATTAAAACTCAGAGAACTAACCATTACAAGAATATTGGGTGCAGGGAGGAAGCTAGTCGGTGGTAGTGGCATTGGAGGGATGAAAGAGACTCAAGAGATGATTGATTTTGCAGCCAAACACAATGTGAAACCAAACATTGAAGTCATACCAATTGACTATGTGAATTCTGCCATGGAGCGCCTTGCAAAATCCGATGTTAAATACCGATTTGTCATTGACATTGGGAACACAATGAAGGCTACATCTTAATGTTATGCTTCATATATATTAATGTGACATGCATGTTGGTGACATTAGTACTAAGTTTTTGTTGTTCTCTGTATTTGTTTTGTTCAGTTCTTCCTGATATAAGTTGTCAAAACAGCATGCTCTTGTTTAAACTAGGATTCAGATTTACAATTAAATAATTGTGTTTGAGGATATATGAGGGAATAAATTTCTTTTGGCCTATAAGCTTAAAATTGAGATTTTTTTGTGTTACTAACTAATGAAAGCCAAGAAATTTTTTCTTTTTTTTTTATTCAAAAAAATTGAACTCAGCTCTTTTAATGTAAGAATACATACATTTACCCAAATGTTCAAATACATTTGGTTACTTTGTTAACGCCATTTGTACATTCTAAAAGCCCTAATTTTCTTAAAAAATTAGTTTTTTTTTTTTTATTGTGAGCCAATGAGTTCGATTTATTTGCCTGAGTCACTTGATTGACCTATATAGTTGGACTACAATCTGGCTCAGTTGCCAACTCATGCCCAAATCAGGATAAACGGTCAACACAAGAAACAAATGTCTCCTATTTGTGGCCCAACTCTCTGGACCAGCCTTGGCAAAATATTTGAGCAAAAACAAAGTTTCTAAATTTTTACTTTTATTGATATTTTTATTTTAAAAAACTCAATCTCAAGTCACCAACATAAATTCTCAATAATCTTGATGCAGAAAACTTGATCTTACAAATTATTTTGTTTGGCTTTGGGTCTCGTCCATTTTTTTTTCATTATTTATTAATAATTCATCATCATTCATATGTGTAAAAACTATGAAAGAAATATTTCATTAAAAAGTTTTTTATTCATCTCATTGATTTAGGGTTTCCAATATGTTTGATATATTACTCTTAGTAATTGCAATTTTTTTGAAGAATTCAAAATTTAACACAATTAATTTATGTAATTATATTTAAAATTGGTATTTAATAAATCTAAAGTTTAAATTTTATTATTTGTAACTCTTTTTTATTTTTAAATTGTGCACTTTTATGAAAAGAAATTAATCATAAAAATAATGCATTAAAGAAAATTTTATTTTTCCTAAATATTAGCTCAACTATTTTCTACTCAAATTATTCGTCATATCAATTTTGGATGTTTGCATTCCTTAACGTGATGTAAAGTTATTGAATAAATTCAAAAATAAAATTTATCAATTCATGAATAAATTAATTGATTCATAAATAAATTATTATAATTAAATTAATATTTTTTTTTATAATACTTGTTCACAAATCTAAATATAAGTAAATAGAATGATAATAATAAATAAATAAATAAAAGAACGATTAAAGATTAGCCCTAAATTGTCAAACCATGTGACTCGTGAAATCAATAAGAGCGGGACTTCACGGTGAGTTCACAGACAATTTAACGCGAAATGACCAAACCACCCTCTAAAGGAGCTCCTTCAGAATGCAGGAAAGTAGAGAGAGAGAGAGAGAGAAGCTCATCCGTACAACTGGGGTGGGTTTGTAATTTTGTATCGAGAACTTTTGGCAGTAGAGGAAGAGCTGCGGTGCGGTGCAGCCCTTTTCAAATTCATTTTTAATTAATTATTAATGCTTGTCTTTTTAATTTTTTTAACACTAACATATTGATAAATTCATTAATTTTGTTTGTTGTGATTTTGGACCGTGAGTTAATCTGATTATTTGGATCAGATTTGATTACGATATAACACTTGATCAACCTACGTAGATTTAGTGCAACAATTCAGTAAATATTTGCACTTAAATTTTCACAATTTTAATAGAAACTGAAAGGATAATCAGACTTTGTTTTGAGTTTATTATTAACATTTGATTATATTAATCTATAAAAATATAAAAATATTTAAAATAATAATGAAATAAAATAAAGCAGACTTTTATTTATCCTACCTTCTTTAATGAAACTACGGAGTGTATCCCTCATATTTTCATTAAGATATCTGTCAAACAGCAAAGAGACATGGCTTAGTGCTATACAAACATAAGCAATGATAATGGGTTAACCAATAACGATTAAAACAAAATAAGAGCTTTATCTAGCATTGCATAGTGACAGCAAAGCATCCATAAAGAAATAAGCTTTTAGCCTACAAAATCAAATATTAATATAGATCAAATGCATCCCTGGCAAGGTGCTGAATGTAAATATAATCATCGATGCAATCTCCCATGCACGAATGTTACGTACTCAATCACATGAATATCCATGCCAACTCAAGCTTCTCTGGCTGTACCATCCAAGAATAACAGAACTACACCTCCTTTCTGTCTCTTACCGCAGGTTTATATACATTATATTAGATAATTACATTACCTAGAAAAGAAAAACATGTTTCGAAAATCAAAGCCATCATTCCACACTCTTGTGCTGCATTGCTACCCTTCGGTTTAATACAAATTAGCCATTTAGAACTCAACTGTTTCGAGAAGCCAAGTTTTTCAAATTTCTTTTCAAGCTATTTTTTTACTAAATAGTTTGATGATAAATTGATAATGGATGTTGAGTGCAGCAATATTATTCGTAGCAAATGGGAGAGAGCCCAACCGTGAATTGATTTGCAGATAGTTATGATTTTCTCCATGCTCTTCTGCACTTGAGGCATCAACAGAAAGAAACCAACTTTTACTCATTCCATCAAAAGCACTTTTTACAAACATTGAATCTGAAAGGTGATAAAAATATCCTTTGCACTTTAACTGTTCATGTGTATGAAGCCATTTCAACATAGGATTTAAATCAACCAAAAGCATTCCTAAATACCTAGAAATGCAAGATATAGCACCATATCTTTAAGCAGGGATTCAAATAGCGATGTTATACTAGAATAGCGATCGCAAAATCGTGATAATGCCACCATTCGTCATCACTATTAAGAAAAAAATAATTGAAAAATTTAATCACACTCAAAATAGTGTGTAATGGTCGCTAAAAAATGGCATAACGGGGAATAGCGACAATAATAATCCGTTATTGACGCCATCTCATTTTTTTCGTCAACACTAAGCACAAATTATAACAATAAAAAAAAAAAGCTTTCAAGTTTCAACAGTGAACAACAAAGATTCTCAAAAATCAAAATAAAACAACAAGACTGCAAAAGCAAAAATAAAGACAAAAGCCAAAAGAAAAGAATTCCTGCTCATAACTCAGTCTCGTTCTCTCTCTTTTCAGTTTCAAAATTCGTCTAAAAAATTTTAGAAAATAATGTCAACTTTCAGCCATTTAATTGATAGCTCCCCAAATTCAAATTAGCTTTAAATCCTCAATAATCAAAATCATAAAAGGTAAAAAAAAATTTTAATTACATGTTTTTTTTTATAAAATATTTAAAGAATAATGTTGATATTTGTATTTGTGATAATTTAAGTGAGAGAGATGAAAGTATGTAAGAGAGAGATGCAGAAAAAATAGGGAGTTGGTTGAGTTGATTTGAAAGATCAACCGTAGATGCCATGAAAAAACTTGAAAAGGAGTAGAGAAAAATTTGAGGACCTGAAAGAGAATCGAGGAGGGGTTTGTATATCAGAATGGGGTGGTGGGTGAGGGGTGGGGTGGGATTCGTTGGGATGGAGTGCTTAGGGGGTAGGGTGAAGTGGATAGTTTTTATTTAATTTTATAATAATTTTATTAAAATCTAAATTTAAAATTTTTAAATTTTTAAATTTTTTTTAGATAAAATTTAGTTAGAAGGATTGAGATTTTATAATTGAAAAAATTAAGAGATTAATAATTTAATATGAAATATATAGGGATTTTAGATGAAAATTTTTAATAAATTTTTTTGTATAAATTAGATGAAAAATAATTAAAATTAAATATTATATTTTGATTTTGTATTTATTAATTTATAATTTATATTTGAAATTTAATAATTTTTTTGTTGTTTTGGTATTTATATCGTTGCCAATTCTTGTGCTATTAAATTAATTCTTATTAATTTATTTTTATTTTTGTGTAATTATTAAATATTTTATTTATTATATAATATATTGAAAGTAATTTGTGATGAAAAATTTTTTACATCAATTAGTATATCAAAAAGATTAAGTTACTTAATAAATTTAGCGTTTTACGATCTATTACTTTTAAGATTAAAAACTAAAAATTAAAAAATTTAAAGTAAATTCAATTTTTAATGATGAAAAAAGTAACATTAATATTTCTAAATATAAGTTTATTTTATTTTTATACAAAATAGCAAGCATGCCACCAAGTGAAGAGTTTCTAAGCAAAAGAGTAGAGGGCGTACCAAATAATGATATAGGTTGACATTTTGGAACACCTATGCCAAATATAAAAGGAAATGTTTTATGCAAACTTTGTGATGAAATTGTAAAATGAGAAATAACACGTTTCAAGGAACACATTGCTCATAAAACTTGCAATGTTGTACAATGCCCCAATGTTATTTGTATGTTATGTTTTTATAATTCTTTTGAAAATATTATTGTTAATTTCTCAATAAAAATTATAAAATTACATAAGCACGTACAACTAATGTTTCCTTTTTTCTTAACTATATTAGTAATAGATTTAGTAAGAAAAAGTATGATGAAACTTCTTAAAGAAAGCAAATCAAAGAAAGTTGAGAACAAAAGGAGAAATGATGAATTCTTATCACAATTAAGAGGGGAAGACTATGATTATGAAGGTTTTATTGATGAAGACATCACTACTAAACAAGCTATGTTTTAATATCCAATTACAATATGAGTGGCACAGAAAATAAGAATTCAGACAAAGAATTGGTGGTTGGAGTAACATACATAAAGAGGAACGAAGCTCTAATGGCTCAATTGTTGAATATTTTGAGAAAAAAAAAGGAAATCAACTCTAAGTGAGTCTGAATTTTCATTAAGAGGGGTTATACCTGAATTAGTTAGAAGTAAGAATTTAAAGCAACCAAAAATAAGTGATTCATTTTTAAAGACATTAAAAAAGAAGATGGATTAATCAGTATCAAAATTTTTTATATATGATCAACTTTCTTTTCAATTAGCAAACTCTCCATAGTTGCATAATTTGATTTCCATGACAGTAAAAATTGGCCAACATGTAAAACTTTCCACCTTATGAGGTCTCAGATGTGTATTTAGAGTCTGAGTATCAACAAATTCATGAATGAGTTAATAGATTAAAAGATCATTGGAATGAATTGGGTGCCACTTTGATGTGTGATGGTTGGACCAATAGTTTGAATCAAATGCATATCATTAATTTTTTTGTTTATTGTAGTAAATGGACCATTTTTTGAAAATCTATAGATATCTCAAATGTTCATAGTGGAGATGCAAATTTTTACTACAGATTATTAGATGAAGTTGTGAAAGAAATTATGGAAAAATACATCGTTCAAATAGTCACTGA